AATTTTCATCATTTAATGCCGTTCGCCAAAGGTACCGCACCAAACGTTTACCGACCAGGGACGCTGGTGCTACACTTGGTGTCGAAATGGAAGGACGACATTTCGAACATTTGTTATAAATTGTTTTCAGAGCCGACTATTGTTGATTTAATGTTCATTTTTGTTTTTCAAACGTTTCAAATAATACATTTTACAGGAAAACCCATTTTTCTTAAATTTTGAATTACAGCGCCATCTGTTGATAAATTGAAAAAAGTTTCAAATAAAAGTTATTCATTTTTTTATGTACTACCAAAATCTGTAAAAAAATGGTTATCCCATTTGACTCTCCAAAGTTACCCCCGGTTTCACCCTTAAGGAGGGGTAGAGGGTGGCTAGCGGTAGCACCAAATAATGTCCCCTTTGGTCACATTAACCTTTTATTTAAAACATTTTTCCGTGAAATGCGTATTTTTCGAGATATTGAGCTGTCTCAAGTTAAAAGAAACAGCCTGTACCGGCGCAGTAGTTTTTAATGGATCAAATCATTTGATCCATCCATCTGAAAACTACTGCGCATATATGATGTAACTACTCCACATAGATCCAACCATCTTGTACCTACTGCGCATGTCCGTCATTTTGAATCCGCAATTTTGTTTTTTTTTTAATGGATATCAAATTCTGAATCAGGGACCCCATAAATATCTGAATACTAAATTTTACCCAAACCATTAAAGCCGAACGACGAATTTTCGTCATATTGGATCAGCCATTTTATTAAAAAAAAATGGATATCAAATTTGTAATCAGGCCCTCAAAAACCACATGTTGTTGATAAGTTTATTGAATAAGAAATGCTTATTAAGCCTACGGGTTTTTGTAATAGTATAAGGAGTGCCATAGATGTGCTTATACAGGGTAAATTTTAAAAATTATTATTAATTTATAAGTAATTTTTTCTTGGTTAACGTTAAGTTGTGTTATAAAATAATACAACGTTAACCAGGAACAAATTTTGTTTATTATGAAATGCGAATAATGTTCTCATTGGTCCAAATAAATATCGTCATTTATGTCCAAAATTATAATTTTTAAGTAAAAAAAAATTGTTTTTTATAATCGAGAGAACGAGAGAGATCGAGAGAAACGAGAAATTCTCGAGCGAGAGAGGGCATTCTCTCGTCTCGTCTCGAGCCTTTTTTCGAGAGAAAATCGCCCTCTCGTCTCGTCGAGACGAGACGAGACGAGACGAGAGGCGAGAATCTCTCGTATCGGCGGCATCACTAGATTTTGACATGGTCAAAATGTCTCTTATCAAAATAGGTAAAAATCTCGGTCAATTGACCAGGCACAACCCTAGTTTCTCTGTATATTCTTAGCTTGCTGGGGGCGGGAGACTCGCGAATTTTAATAGGGAAATGCGCACACATTTAGTGTGCTCCAAAACCAGTTTGCCACGGATGATCTTGTTTTAATTTCGTAATTTGTTCCTGCGTTTAGCAATTTTATAAAGGTTTTTATTATAAGTTCTTTGTTGCATTAATATTTCAACAATTATTATGAAAACTTTAACGGTGGAGGACTGGCAAATGAGGCTGTTATTGACAAGTTTGCTGCAAATAAGGACAGAAGAATGCGTTTAAAGTTTAAACTTTAAACAATGATAAAATATAAATTATCATTTTGTTCTTTCGATATTGTATACATCTCAATGTTTAATCTGATATTTTTCATTGTTTGAAAGCTTAAAAAAGTAAAAATAGTCGTGCAAACCACAAAAAACTCCATGCCGCTTTTTTAAATTTGTGAACTCCCTTTATAATAGATCACGAGCCGATACTGATGATACCATAGTAAAAAAACAAACTTGGAAAGTAACGGACACCTCAATATATATGTTAACATAGGATACTTGTTGCACCCTGTAGAATAAACTTTTAATAAAAGTTTGTAAACATACTAAAAATTTTACTTTAAAGGAATTTTTTTTTTCATAATTTAACTCAAATCTAAAAACATGTTTTTAAAATTTTATTTTTGAGTTCATATTAAACAAATGTTTAAGTACCTATTTTAAGTGTTTAAAACATAGTATTAATTTCTTCAAAAATGCATCTAAACTACGCATATTTAAATGGCAAATATGAAATACCTAAATTACTATTATTTAATAATAAACTTTTTGTAATTATTTATTGCTAACCATGTTAGATATTTCCAATGGGAAATAAACTCGTAATTTATCTATACATATATGGTAATTTAAATTACGTCACTCAAGTCCCTCAACCATGGAGTAAAGTGATATGCATTGTAGGTATAAATTTAAAAAAATAACGTAGGACTCGAATATCCGTACGGTTTAAAGCTTACGACAAGGTCGACGGTATTAGATTCGGACTTTTTTTTGTTATATTTAATTCATATTACATGTAGAAAAGTTTACATTCCACCTACAGGACACTTATACGTATTTATTAACCTGTGCAAGAATGTCATTCAACTTCTGCTTAAACCTTAGTATGGTGATGATAAGATATAGATAACTATCAAACTTAACATATACATTGTAAAATAGGTTAAGAACCTTAAGGTATGGTAAATTTTGTTTTATTTGTGAGAGCGACTTTTTAAGTAATTTAAAATAAAATCCATAAATTAAATACAAAAGTTCAGGATATTGTCTGTAAACGTTTATAAATATAATAATTACTAAAACTTGTTTAATATAAAAAATCAATTAGGCCCAAAAACACAAATTGCTCAAAAAAAATCTACCACGCATATATTTTTTTATTTTTGATAGACATTAACGTGGAAATTGGGATCAATTCTACATATGTATATTAGGGTGTTTCATTTAAAACGAATTTTTTTTTCTTGCTGACACATGTTTTTTAGGTTGAAAAAAAAATTCCTGAAAATTTGAGCCCTTATCTTTTATTCTAAGTAGGTACTTCCTTTTTAATTTTGTAGTTTTTCTACAACTTTTTTATTTGAACTTTTTCGGTAAAACCAGTCATTCGCTCGATTTTCTCAAAAATATGTGAAAAGAGTGAAAAAACGACTTTTGGAGCTACTACAATCAACGTAAATAAATCAAAAACAAAATTGATGCAGGGCCTTTCAAAAACCGTGAATACTATGCATAAAATTATGGTGATAAAAATTATAATTCAAAACCCGGCCAAAATATAGAAATTTAAAGTAAAAATGATTAAAAATACATGCTTTTTATATGGAAAAACTACAAAATTAAAAAGGAAGTACTTAGAATCAAAATTAAGGGCTCAAATTTTCAGGGAATTTTTTTTCAACCTAAAAAACAAAATTTTTATGTGTCAGCAAGAAAAAAAATTTCGTTTTAAATGAAACACCCTAATGTATATAATATCAAACAAAAGTTTCTTTAAAATGTCCACAATTTTTTGTTATAATAATAAAAATAAAAAAATGTTTTTACATTTTAAATATAATTACTTATCATTTAACATTTAAATTGTGCTGGAAATTTAAATTTAAATCCTTTTGAATATATCTACAGCTGATGTCTAACGTTTTGTTTTTCATATTGTTTATTTAATAATTTAATAAGTTCCTTATATTCAGACTTTTACTAAGGTAATACCATTGATTCAACGGTAATACACTAAATTACTATTTTCTTTAAAAAAATTGAGCTTTAATTTTAATTTATTTTAAGAGTTTTTAGCTTAGTAAAGGATAATTATTAAAGAGCTATTTCCAACTATTTAAAATGTAGTCCATATACAGTGTCCGTAAAAAGGCGAATCAACGCCAAATGACATATATGTCATTGGGATTTTAATTATAAAATAAATTCCCAGAGTAGTTTTTAAATTATTAAGCCTTTAATCATACTCCATAATGATTTAAGTTTAAAAAACTCTAAAATAGGACATATTTAAAAATGGCTGTTATGGCAAGGATATACAGAGTGTCCCAAAATCACCGGACCAAACGGAAGGGGTCAATTCCTTGCAAAAAATACAAAGACAAAATTTCCTTTGCGATTTTTTTTGAATTCGCAAATTTGCAGGAGTTATTTAATTTTTAAGGCCGCCAATGGGAGCGCAGTGTTCCTGCCTTGGTTTTTGCTTTATAGGGCGAGCCCCGCCGTTATTAACATTTTATTTCTTATCGCCATTATAAAATTATTTTGTTATTTTAATATACAGTGGGTCAATTTTAGAAATAATAAAATCTTTACTTACTAGAAAAAAAAGAATTGGATTGAGAGTAGAAGTCTTTTAGTCTGTGTATTGCTTGAAAACCGATAAAGGTGGAAACTCAAAAATTTTATCCATTTTAGTGCCAGAGAGACTTATTTGTAAACAAGATTTTTAAGGTGCCAAAGAGGCCCGTTCATTTTTTTTTTCGATTTTTAAGTCCAATTTCACCCATTCACCGGAGAAAATCGCTTACTTTTCAAACAAGTGGACATTTTTCGAAACTTTTCTAGTTTAGATTTTGTTATTGATTTTTTTTCACTAATTGCAATTAGTTAAATTCGAGGTGTTTATAATAATTTGTTACCTACTGTAAATAGTCTTTAAACAAATTGGAACTCAAAAAGCACTCAAGCACTAATGCGCCATTTTGGAGACACCTGTATAATAAAAAATAATCTTTAAAATAATTTTAATAAAAACATAATAATTAAAAAATTTTTTATTGTATATTTAAAATAGATAAATATGGTCGCTTGAAAATTTATTTACTTCACGTCAAATTTTAAAAATTTCCCTTAAAAGCAAAAAAAAAACTTTTTTAAATAACTTTGAGTAATTGTTTATTAAGCAAAAACTCTTTAAAAAATAGAATATATTCCTAACAATTTTGTTTTTTATTCCGATAAAAATAAAAGAGGTGAGCATTGTAAGAAAATCTTTCAAATAGCACCTATTTTAAGCAAACTTTCTTGTTATGTTAAAAATGCAAATCCAATACATTTGTCTACTCTTAAGTTGCGTTATTTAAAATTTAAAGAGACTGACCTTTCTCATCCTGACGTCTAATGTATCGGTATTAAAAGGGCGAACACATGGCTTTTGAAAAGAGTCGATTTCGGCATTTTTCCCATTTATTTGTTCATTGGGTTGGTCCGTTTTCGTTTGTTTATATCTTGCATTTAAAGCCACAGACCGCGAAAAGCAACTTTTGTAATTAATGTCATCCAACTCACTGCCCATATCAAACTGTAAATATTCACTCATATTTAGAAGTTTCTCTTGAAAACATTAAATAATAAATTATGAAAATATATTTTTTGCTGAACTATGAAACTAGAATAACATCACTATTAGTGCCATAAACTATAACATAATAACTAATACAATATTCGCGTTATAACACAGCATGGAGATGTAAGAGCTCTCTTTAACTGTTTACAAGCCGGCTTCTAGCGCACTGACTACTTTGAATTTCAAAGTTTGAAAGTACACGCGCCAATGCATCCACGCACAGCGCAAGTCACCACATGGTAGGAACGAAGTCTGGCCGGCTATTCTTTTGTATGCAACTAAAATTGCAGGTAAATTTAAGAGTTGGGTCCCTTCAGATTTAATACAATTCCGATTGTATGCAGTTATGAATAGGTGGGTATTGCTTTTTATGTGTACCTACATGATCCTCAGCAGGGCCAAATTTAATTTAAAATGATGTAAAATTTAATTAAATAAACAAATGCTTAATAAATAAAAAAATATTTTAAAAAATATAAAAATATTTTTAAAAAATATTCGAAAAATAAAAATGTCCGGGCCCACAAGTTTTATAGCTTAACTAATTATAATAGTAATAACACAGTTCAACAAGATTTTCCTCTCATGCAGATTTTAAAAATAACCCGTAAAAAAACGTACCACCGACACCCTTTCACGAAATCACGTAATTTAAATTTTTTATACAGCCATTCTTATTATTTTAACCTAGGTATACAGATTTTTAATTCCCTAGTGAATATTTAATATTTGAGAAAAAAAAATGATTTATAACATTAGCTAATGTTATAAATCATTTTTTTTCTTTAAATATTGTATTTTTTTAAATAATAATTTAATCAAAGAAAATAATTTTTGGTTTTAATTTTTGTTTTTTTACAAAACAACAGATTTATATATATATATATATATATATATATATATTAGGGTGGCCCAAAAAAAAAAGAATATTTTTTTTCTTCTCGTCTCTTGTGAAAATATGTTGGTTTGTCATGTTTTAAGAGCCCTGTCAAAAGATCAGCACCATTAAAAAATTTTTAGGGGTCGCTCAAGATTTTTAAAAATTACCAAAATCGTCAAAAATTGGATTTTTTTTTATTTTAATTTTTTTTCTCGTTTCGATATTATTTTTTAATTTAAAAATAATAATGATTCTGAAAATTTCAAATCGATATTTTAATTTCTAAAGGTCGCTCAAGATTATTTTAACTTTCAAAGTAGAGTATTTTGAATGTTTTTGAGCGACCTCTGAATATAAATATCAACGAACTTTTAGCGACCTTTAGAAATCAAAATATTGATTTGAAATTAACAGAATTTTTATTATTTTCAACCTAAAAAATAATATCGAGACGAGAAAAAGAATTAAAATAAAACAAAAATTCAATTTTTGACGATTTTGAAAATTTTTAAAAATCTTGAGCGACCCCTACAAAATTTTTAATCGAGCTGATATTTTGAAAGGGCTCTTACAGCATGATAAACTAACATATTTTTACAAGAGACGAGAAGAAAAAAAATATTCTTTTTTTTTTGGGCCACCCTAATATACAGGGTGGCCGATTTATCTGAAGACATTGAAATATTTCGAAAACTACGCATCGGATCAAAAAAAGTTTTGAATAAAATTTGTTCGCCTGGAAGGGGGACATCCAATGATACCAAAGTCGACCCCTCACCACCACCCCATGGGGTGGGGGTGGGGGCAACTTTAATATTCTAAATAGGAACCCCCATTTTTTATTGCAGATTCGGATTTACTATTAAAAAATAAGTAACTTTTATGGAAAAACTTTTTTTAAATTCCTGATAGATGGCGCTGTAATCGCAAGAAACCCGATTTTTGGGAATATCTTAAAAAATTACACATCGGATCGAAAAAAAGAAAAACTTGTTTAATTTTTGGATTTTATTCGTATATCAATAAGTTAACATCTATTTTTAAAATTACCCAAGAATGGGAAATCCGAATCTGCAATTTTTCAAGATATTCCCAAAAATCGCGATTACAGCGCCATCTATCAGGAATTTAAAAAAAGTTTTTCCATAAAAGTTACTTATTTTTTAATAGTAAATCCGAATCTGCAATAAAAAATGGGGGTTCCTATTTAGAATATTAAAGTTGCCCCCACCCCCACCCCATGGCCTTGGGAACATGGGAACATCAAAAGGAATTAATTAATTTAATTTATTTTGAATTCCCTTACAATTCTCGTATACACTAATTATATTTTTTAATGGGAAATCCGAATCTGCAATTTTTCAAGATATTCCCAAAAATCGCGATTACAGCGCCATCTATCAGGAATTAAAAAAAAGTTTTTCCATAAAAGTTACTTATTTTTTAATAGTAAATCCGAATCTGCAATAAAAAATGGGGGTTCCTATTTAGAATATTAAAGTTGCCCCCACCCCCACCCCATGGGGTGGTGGTGAGGGGTCGACTTTGGTATCATTGGATGTCCCCCTTCCAGGCGAACAAATTTTATTCAAAACTTTTTTTGATCCGATGCATAGTTTTCGAAATATTTCAATGTCTTCAGATAAATCGGCCACCCTGTATATATATATATATTAGGGTGGGCCAAAAAAAAACTTTTAATTTTTTTTCTTTAGGAACCATGAAAATATCATCCAAGATGACGAAAAAAAAATTCTCCTAAAGTTTGAGCTCTTAATATTAATATTAAGAGGTGGCTCATCGCGATTTTTTATTTTCCATTTAAATAACACGGGAAAAAAAACATTTTTTTGTTTGTAATTTTATTGCGATTTAATGAATTAGTGTGTTGTAAAAATCAATACATATTCTTGTAGGGAATTGAACGATCTACAAAAAAGATCTGATATGATTTTTTGCTTAGTCGACTCTTTTAAAAGATATTTGAGGTTAAAGTTCAACCTCAAATAGTAAATGATGACTTTTATAGTTTTCCATGCTCTATTACGAAATATTGGCTCAAAAACATGAAATATCATATTTTTCGTGAAGTTTATCGAGTGTTCTTTGGTAAAACAATACAATTTCTACGAAATATCAATAATCAATATCAATAATTTTTTTTTCTTTAGGAACCATGAAAATATCATCCAAGATGACGAAAAAAAAATTCTCCTAAAGTTTGAGCTCTTAATATTAATATTAAGAGGTGGCTCATCGCGATTTTTTATTTTCCATTTAAATAACACGGGAAAAAAACATTTTTTTGTTTGTAATTTTATTGCGATTTAATGAATTAGTGTGTTGTAAAAATCAATACATATTCTTGTAGGGAATTGAACGATCTACAAAAAAGATCTGATATGATTTTTTGCATAGTCGACTCTTTTAAAAGTTATTTGAGGTTAAAGTTCAACTTCAAATAGTAAATGATGACTTTTATAGTTTTTCACTAAATATTGTCTCAAAAACATGAAATATCATATTTTTCGTGAAGTTTATCGAGTGTTCTTCGGCAAAACAATACAATTTTTTATAAAATATCAATAATCGTTGGAAAAACGGTTTTTTCCAAAATTTAATTTTTTTTTAATTCGAAATTTTTTCTTTACCTGAGTAATGACAAAAAAAATTAATCATTTCCTTAAAAAATAATAAATATTCTATTTACACTTGACTATTAGGTAATGTAGAGTAATAAAAGCCATGTTTCAATAATTTTCCAATTAAAATAAAAAATGTTATTCCAACGTGCACTTTTTCACTATTTTGGAATCAAACTAAATTTTTCTTGTTACAATTGGGATATTTTTGCTGGTGGTTTTTAACTACTCGCTATAAGTATCAAATATACATATACATATTTAATATATTTGATTTACCCATTGACTTTATCAATAAGAATGTAGAATTTTGGACACAGGATGAAAGCTATCAAGATAATCTAGTATTTTTCAAACGTCTAGCGTTCTCAATGATGTAGCAGAAAGAGGAGTTGCATTAATAGAAGAGTACAACAAATGTTTGATTCTAAGATAGTGAAAAAAGTACAAGTTATGGAATAACATTTTTTATTTTAGTTGATAAATTATTGAAACATGGCTTTTATTAGGTACCTAATAGTCAAGTGTAAATAGAATATTTATTATTTTTTGAGAAAATGATTAATTTTTTTGTCATTACTTATGTAAAGAAAAAAATTCGATTTTTTTTTAAATCAAGTAGACTTATACTTATACTTATAGAAAAAAAATTTATTGATATTGATTATTAATATTTCGTAGAAATTGTATTGTTTTACCAAAGAACACTCGATAAACTTCACGGAAAATATGATATTTCATGTTTTTGGGCCAATATTTCGTAATAGAGTATGGAAAACTATAAAAGTCATCATTTACTATTTGAGGTTGAACTTTAACCTCAAATATCTTTTAAAAGAGTCGACTTAGCAAAATATTATATCAGATCTTTTTTGTAGATCGTTCAATTCCCTACAAGAATATATATTGATTTTTACAACACACTAATTCGTTAAATCGCAATAAAATTACAAACAAAAAAATGTTTTTTCCCGTGTTATTTAAATGGAAAATAAAAAATCGCGATGAGCCACCTCTTAATATTGATATTAAGAGCTCAAACTTTATCAGAATTTTTTTTTCGTCATCTTGGACAATATTTTCATGGTAGCTAAAGAAAAGAAAATTAAAAGTTTTTTTTTAAATCAAGTACTTATAGAAAAAAAAATTATTGATATTGATTATTGATATTTCGTAGAAATTGTATTGTTTTACCAAAGAACACTCGATAAACTTCACGAAAAATATGATATTTCATGTTTTTGAGCCAATATTTCGTAATAGAGCATGGAAAACTATAAAAGTCATCATTTACTATTTGAGGTTGAACTTTAACCTCAAATATCTTTTAAAAGAGTCGACTAAGCAAAAAATCATATCAGATCTTTTTTGTAGATCGTTCAATTCCCTACAAGAATATGTATTGATTTTTACAACACACTAATTCGTTAAATCGGAATAAAATTACAAACAAAAAAATGTTTTTTTCCCGTGTTATTTAAATGGAAAATAAAAAATCGCGATGAGCCACCTCTTAATATTAATATTAAGAGCTCAAACTTTAGGAGAATTTTTTTTTCGTCATCTTGGACGATATTTTCATGGTACCTAAAGAAAAAAAATTAAAAGTTTTTTTTTGGCCCACCCTAATATATATATATATATATATACACTTGCTTGCAACAAAATCGCGTACACTTCAAAAATCAAATAACCTAGATGTTACGAATATTGTGCTGTGTAAATGTGTATTTTT